TGTCAAGCAGTGAGGCATCATGCAGCAGACATATAACATTATGTCCCACCCAGACACTTTATTCTAACACCTGGATGACCTGAGTACTAAAACTAACCTCTTAATGTTGAGTGCCAAATGAGACAGCTGCTTGTACCACTTTTATACTTATGACCTGGCCTGGGTTCCAACCCACAACATCAACTCAAATAGTACTATACATATTCAATTTATACTGTGAGCTTGACCTTTGCACATGATTAAGACCTGAGATTTTGCCTAAAGAGAGACACACAGCACCTCACATGACCTGCATACAATACATAATATATATATATATATATATATATATATATATATATATATATATATATATATATATATATATATATATATATATTATATTAAACTATTAAATTCTGCCCACTATTATCAAGATTATACTACCGAATCCAGTCTGTTCTGTCTGGTATATATTTATAATTCTTTCTAATAAACAAATCATATATACCTTGATTTCTTTCATAGGAATCTGTTTCAACTGTGTATATATATATATATATATATATATATATATATATATATATATATATATATATATATATATATATATATATATATATATATATGAGAATTATTTACTAGGTGTCATGCGAGTGTGTCTGCTACACATGAGCTTATTATAACAACGATTCAGTGCCATACTTTTTTTTTGGTGATGCGTACTTAGTCGTGACGGTATATGGGTTGGTGCGTGCAGGCAAGGCGATTGGTGCCAATTACTCGCTGACCTGGGTTCGAAACTCCGTAGGGTACGAATTTAATTTCTCTAACCTGTATGATAGTATTGTTTGTATTAAACTATTATTTCTGCCCATCACCAAGAAAATGATGGCACGGAATCGGTGTTATATGAGCTAGTGCGTAGCAGACACACTCGCATTACGACCAAGTAAATAATTCTGAGAGAGAGAGAGAACGCGTCTTCAAGCATATCATGTTGAAATCTGTTGTGTTTTTTTTTTTTTCAAAAAGCCATATTTAACAAAAAGTTTATGCTTCGAAATATGTTTATGATATACCTCCAATATTGGAACTCCTTCAGGCATTTCAAAACTGTTTGTTACTACACTCAGAAATTCCAATCTAACATATGACTATCACAACAGTTTCGCCCAACGTCATCGCAAGTCTGTAGCAAGATACACGCTCAGAACAATGTCTGAACATATTATATTTTAATTTCCAGAAACGATGCTGCATTATTAATTGTAAGTCAAGAGCAATATGATATGTCAATAAAAAAAGATAGAAAAATTCAGCGTATTTTCCGTCCTTTCCTCACTTGTCGTAAAGATATACACTTTTACTTATAGTCCAAATGACAAATCTGAAGATGCGCTGTCTTCAGGGTACAGCTTTTGAGACCTTCAAAATACTGTATAAGAGCACTTCCAAATGTTTGGAATACAATATATTTTAAACACAATAAAAAAAAGTTTTTGTTAGATATTAAAATATATTAGTTGTCCAAGAATTAAAACCGTGACATTTTTTTTATAAAAAAAATTGGTTAAAGATTGCAGCTGACACTCTGTAAAATGAGCTACCAAACTATTTTATAGAGCAGACGAATTTTAATTCATTTTATCTTTAATTCTGTCCTAAAATGGAATAGGCTATAAATAAAATATATGGCATCAGTACACAATTAATAAAATCCGTTTCAGTACCACTAATGTAGTCCCAGTCTATTTTTAGGTCACTTTTCCTGTCTCCATTTGGTGGTGATACAAGAGTTAGATTTTGGCATTCTTGGTAAAGATTTAAAGGCAATTGTTTATTCTTTAGAATGTGAGCTTATGGTGTGGTTGTCTTTGTGTATTTCGGCGACAGTACACATTGAGTAATAAGGTCATGGTGATGATCCAGAAGTGAAATCTGTGTTCCGTTGCATGGTGTTTTCTTTACAATTCAGCCTCTCAAAAAATGCAGGTCAACCCTTGATAAAAACTTCACCGTAAAGTCATCTTTGAAGGTATTTTAGATTAACATATGATTTGTATTAATTGTCACACAGTTGACAGTTCAGTACGGAGAAAAAAAAATGTAGAGACTATATAGTAAAATTAATTGTGTTCTATGGCCATATAAATACCCACTCCTCACCATAATGACAGCTAATGTTTGTGTTAGCGTTTTTTTTTTTTGGTTTGATTTTTTGTTTGTTTGTTTTGTTTTGTTTTTTTGTTTATCGGGTCATTGTCTTACGTATGAATCAAGTGCCGTACTGTTTGCTCCGTTCTTTTTACGTAAGACGTAAGCTGCCTTAAAAGTAACATTTTGTAAATGAACAATGTTATTTCTTTCACAAAATAAACAAATCTTGGTGAAAATATTTCACTTCTTTCGTGAAGAAATTGGACACGTAAAGAAGTTTCATCGAGAAAATGTTACATTTCTGTATATGTTCCCTTAATGCACACACTGTAAGGGAGCCACGATAACTCAATTTGAAGATCACCAGACCTATAAACCAAGGATCGCGGTTTCAAACCTGTCCAGGTCGAACACTCTGGATGAAAAGACACTTAGCTCCCATTTCCTCAACAAAAATAAAACGTAATAATTAAAAAGTTTTTTGTTTTTTTTTTTTGTTTTTTTTACACCAAGAAAGAAAAGACAAACTCCATTGACGTTAAAACGTGCTTGGTACAAATGAGTTTTAATGTATTATATTAAAGCCCCAATCAGGAGAGAATCTAAATTATTTGGCACCTTTCGTGGATCCTTTCTTTGACACCCCAACAAATAATTTAAAAATGTAAACACACAGAAAAAACTTTTAAACAGTACAGTGCTGTCATAAACTAATTGGAAATAACTTTTACTTTGGCAAATTTTTTCATTTGGTTTGAAAACTTGCACTGGAATTTCAACTCACCCGATGGCACCTTCCTTTCGGCTCTTACCTGGGACAGGACCGCCCACCTTGTACTCCGAATGTTGTCATTGTCATAAATTTCATCATTCTCTCAATCTAACTAAAAATTTAAAAGCAAAAAGGAATTATTTTGTGTTATTAAACAGGTATCTGACAGAAACCGTTCTTTGTAATAATCAAGATATTTTATTTAAATGATGTTCAAATATTTAGTTTAGAAAATATGAGGTACCACCCCTTTATTCCGTTTCCTAAGTTGCTCTAAGTCTATTCTCTATTCGAGAGTGCTCCATAAGTAGTGATGTGATGTAATCGACAAACTTCGTTGGCGATTAATCTAATAACGATAACATTTGCAGGTAGCAGATTGATTCGAGAGAGATTGAAGAGGGGCTGGCTGACTTTGTATTAAGTGTATCTATGGGAAAAAAAAGCATGTATTGCATAAAAATAAGATTTGTGGTGAATATTAGTGATCAGCTGGGGCGCCGTAATACTTAGAAGGACGAACGTGGGCCGAAGATTTCCATGTTAATTGGCTAGCTTACGACGCAGACTTGCGAAAAATTATGTTGCTAGGTTATGCTATTAAAGAAAATATACTCGTAAATGAAAGGCCAAACTGCATCATATCAAACGCAAAATGAGAAAAGCGTATCATTATAAAATAGATCGTATCCGACATAGCGTAGTTGTGGATTTATATGTTTACAACGATCTCGTCATCACATTTTGTGTTCCAACTTTCTAATGAAATCGGTTGACATACGGGTGTCGCCGTTCAACGTGGATGAAACGTCGATATTATATAGTTTTAATGGCACAAAACGATGCCTAGGACCAACAGTTTTCAAAATTCAGTATTATTATATTTCGCATATTTTAATTTTTGCACCTATTGGCAACAATAATGCCATTAATTTTTGTTTAAAACTTAACTTTTTTGCAACAAGTGACATTCTTCACGATATAAGAAGACAAATTTTATTTGAAAAAGCAACTACTGTACTGTTCATCTTTGATGCTCCTTTGTTTTGATGCAGTGTCGTTAACTCCTCGTTCTCAAATGACCGCATCATAAGTTACATCATGACCACAATATTCGTTGACACTCATCAACACCGATTCTTATCGACATAAAACTTTATTGAAAATCCTATCTTTATCAGTTGTGAATTGAATCAAACCTCCATTTCATTAATTCTCTCTTTTTCCAATCTGTTAAGTCCCGACAAAATCCTTACTAATTATTCTGACGGGGCTGATCGACTTCCTAGCATAATTGGTATCTAGTGTTAGCAGCATAATTCACATATTTACAATAACAACATACCAATTACCACAGAAAAAAATCATCCTTAAACAAGTATCATCTGCTTTTTATCTTATTTATGGCAATCAATGGTAGAGTCTTTTCTATTTGATTACAATTACTTTTTTTTTTACTATTCTTTCAAAAATGTTTCCATATCCTTGAACTAAATATAAATATTTAACGTATATTGACCGAATTGATTGTCCTTCTTTGTAGATTGTGGAAAGAATGATAGTTGAAAATGAAACCCTTCTCTCGTAATTGTGAATAAATTATTATTTAACTCAATCTAATATTTCTTGCTTACAAGTATAAAAATATTTCTCATAGTAGCATTATGATCCCTCACCTCAATTTAATTATCTTAGCTATTGAAAGATATGAAAAGCTTTTGTAATGTTAAACTGAGTTTCTTCATTTGATTTTTTCGCCAATAAACGCATTTCAATGTGGTTTTGATAATTTCCTGCCATTATTTTTAATGCGGTTCATATTTTAACGTGCACACCAAAGTTTAATTTCCAGCGAAAACTCACATACACTTAGAAAGTTAACTCCTGTTTCATGACTTTGCAAATGTTTAATTGTTTAATGGTTGCACAATAAAGATGTGGCATATAGAAACGATGGCTGTAACATGAACTACTTATGTCATTTAACTATATTTCTAACGAAACATATAAATAGAAGCTCTGAATGAGAAAAATAAATAATTTATTATAGTTCTAACATGTCATATTTGTCATAACATGAACCTCTCCCTTGGCTTAGTGGTTAGAGCGTCCGCCTCGGATGCGGGAGGTCGTGGGTTTGATCCCCGGTCGAGTCATACCAAAGACTTACAAAAATGGTAATAACAGCTGCCTCACTTGACGCTCAGCATTAAGAGGTTAGTGTTAGGACTGTTCGGCCTGGTGTCAGGATAATGTGATTGGGTGGGGCATTGCTACATGTCTGCGGCATGATGCCCGAGTGCTAGACATCACTATAAACTGCCACACTGCAGAGATCGTAGCAATATGACTGAAAAATTGTTAAAGCTACGTTAAAATTCATAATCACCACACCACACCGGTTATGATTCAAATGTATTCTGCTTATAATGCTCCCTGTATTCATGACATGATGTAATAACCAACGGTCTCAACAACTTGCATTAAATAACAATAGCCATTACAATCTACTAATAAGATTTAAGAATATGCATATGAATAACATTGAATTCCAAATAACAAGCAGTTAAATATAATTATTGCAAGAAATGGACTGCCAAAACGATAGTCAATTAAATGTACTGAAATAGCGCACGTTTCATAGAGACCACTGTTGATAAATAAGTAGTCGATACTTTGGGTTTCCTTTTTCTTTAGTAAAGAAACGCAATAAATAATTATACTGCATTTATGAATGTATACTTTCAAATGTGACTCCTTTATATTATGTTATGTTTAGGCAATGACAAATTTCGCTACAACTTTCGGAAGCTGATTTGCATAACTTATGGACTACCGTAAAACGCATACCCGATTGACGTCTGAAACAAGAGTGCATACCACCCATTAATTTATACCTTTCGGTTGAACTACGCCATGTAACACTCCGCCAAAAACAGTACCTATTTTTAACAGGGATTTAAGACACAAAAAAACACTAACTACCACCAATATGTTGCGATTATTGACAAATATCGAATGATAATTATATTATTCCACTTTTACTTAAAAATATTCTAAGACTACCAGGCACCAAAATCCTTGTGCAAGGCATGTACAGAATGACTGCAGAGTAAAACACTGGCCTCCAACTGATGTTGGTGGTGCGGGAAAGTTAGAAAGTGCACAATAAGTGTGTGTCCGCTTTGTAGAAAATGGTACGTATATTATTTTATTATTAAGTTTTATTTATTATAGGTACAAACTCGTTATATAAATTGTTCATTAATGTTCACCAACGTTTGCACGTAGCACATTGTGAAAACTAGATATGCCTCCAATACACAAATTGCCTCCAAAACAAAGATGGCGGAAATAGTAAATTAACCTGCATGTATGACATCGAACGTATCATAGAATAAATATCGTTTGTCAGTCATATAGTATTGAAAATGGTCTCAAAATACCATCTGCACCAGAATTTGCTACAATAACTATTTATATGTGTAATTTACAGCACTCAAAGTATTCGACGTGAAAAAAAAAAAATACTGACCATAGGTGACAAACATGCGACAATGAATGATACAGTTCAGTGAATCACAACAAATACTACCAAAAGTAGAATTCATGCAACAACACAGTGCCCCCTCCCAACTTTTGAAAATAGATTACATATAAACATACACTTCAGTAAATCACAATGCTACCAAACAAGTGAATAATTTGAATACACGTACATTTTCGAACAATATATACAAAGGACACAAATGAGTTTGTGTTGAGAACGTCCTAAAAGTGACGAACTTTGTGACAAAGGGTCGTCAGGTTTTAAGTTCAAGAAGAGCATGAGGAAATATATTGTCAACATTGGTATACGAGCTTTATTTAAATAGTGAATGTTTCAAATGAACTGCGAAGAGTCACTAACGACGAATAATATTACTTAAAAGATGAAACTAAGTGAGTCAAAAAACAGGTGTCCAGGGAAACCGCTCATTTACTCCGTCTTTGATCCGGTCTCTTTTTCGGGATACTTTTGTGGCATGCGACGCGAATTAAAGCCTGTTATCAAGGTCGATTTTAAAATGGGTAAGAAGTGCCATCCCTTGTATTTGTTTGTTTATATTGCTACAATAATACGAAGCCAACAAGCCACGATACATACCTTATTCTGTACGACTGCGACTACAATTTAAGTAAAATGTACTTTAACTAGGCCTGTATCATAACTTGTCGAGTTTGACAGGACCCTATAATGTAAGCCCGACCATGCGACTGACTTAGAGGGCCCTTGCTTAGCAGTGCATTATGAAACTGACATAAGCAGTCAGATAAGAGCTTTCACTCGCAAAGTATTATAAAATAGAACAAATTATGACAACGGATAAACAGTTTCATACAATTTCAAGGTGACAAACATGTAGCGAATCTCAAAACCCAGATCATTCAATCAATTCAAGTGTTGTTGTTTTTTTTTTTTTTTTTTTTTTTTTTTTTTTTTTTTTTTTTACGCTGGTGCTGGTGTCTTCTCGGATTATTTCTTCCCGAAAATGTCTGCGTAGCACCTGAAGCGAGGCGAGGCATTACATTATCGTAGTACAGATATTTCATCAATGAAAAGGACTGATCTTCTAGTTTACTAATCAGTTTAGCCAACAGTTCCATCAAAAGTATTCTCGTTGGGTTTGTTGACTAGCATAGTGTTAATTTGCTGTGAGTTTAATTAGAAATGAGGACAAAGCAGTACATGTAAATAGATTTTTTTTTCTTCACTGAGAAGATCAAACCAGATCTTAAACTAAAGGGCAAGTGGAGAATACCTTAAACGATGCAGTCTACACTCTTGAATTTTACATCGCTTCAGAAAAATCTAACTATTTAAATTGGAGTAATTTCTGATTTCAGAAAAACATTCAAAGCATATGTAAGAGTTGGAACATGTTTGCGAGAGAGCTTATAGTCCATTGACGCCGACAGGGATAAACATTAATAATAATAATAATAATAATAATAATAATAATAATAATAATAATAATAATAATAATTTTGATACAATGTATACAGATACTAAATCTGAATAAATCGCGTAACATTGACATAGTATTGCATAAAAAGGGCTGTAAAACAAACATCAAAATGCAAGATCCACCAAGGGGATGATCCATAACAGTTTATAAGAACTCCTCTCCAATAGTGACGAGGACCAAGTTTTTTGGGGTGGGTGGGTGGGTAGGTAGATACATTTGGCAAATTTCAGTTATATATTTGACTAAATTAGGAAATAACTATAAAGTATTAAAATCTTAAAAACTGATTTCAGAATTAAATGTGTCATAAAAAATACTAATAAATATCGTTGAACTATATTATTTTTTATCTTTTGGATATCAAAAGTTTGAAATAACAGCCCGTTTAAAATAACATAATTGAATGTATTTTTCCACTGACCTTAAAAAGTTATTGTTCTCCACAATGTCCGATCAAACTTGATACTTGTTTTCCTTGTTCTATACAAGCAACCCCCGACTTGTTCCATACAATAAATATCCGTTATCTTGCCTCTCTCAAATCGCTGGGAGGGTCTCCACAGTAGTATTCGATTTTAAAATATGAAAAATTTCGACCATTTTTCATAGTTTTCGATTTTTGATCATATTTTTTAAAAAATTTCTCATGACATCAAAAGTCATGCCTAAAACCAATTTAATTTTTGTTCAATACCTTATAGCGTGATAGCGATGAAACATTTCCTGGATAATTTTTCCATATTGTATAAAGTAAAACTGCATGAAAATTAACTTTATTATTACTCATTAAAGTGTGACGAGCAAATCACTTACAACAAAGTAAAAAGACGACACAGCAGTGTTGAAATTCGAGAGTGGGAACGTGAGCTCACTTGATCAGCAGATGGCCAGCACGTTTTCATTGTGATGGAAATCAGGAAACAAGTCAACGTGTTGGTTCTTACCACTTGACGGTACCATCGCATTACAATGCAAGAAAATAGGACTATATTTTAAATATTTGACTACGTAAAACAAAGAATTAATTCTATATCTGACACCCACAACAAAAATTTAACCAATAAAACCTGTACTGAAATTTCAGTCGATCGTGCTGTTGACCACAGGTCGTTTCACAATCGCCATTAACTTGGTTGGCAAGCTAGATTCAAAATACCTCGCAGCACGCGATCAAACAAAGATGGAAAAAAATTATGATAATGCAATGAATTATGTGCTAAAAAAATCCAATTTGACAGGAATGTTGTCAAGAGAAGTGCCACCAGCAGAAGCTATGGGGGGTCCATTATCTAACTTCAAAAGTACCTCCACCACGTGCCTTAATGGGAAATGGACATTTTTGTGTTTAAGTTTTATACTGACGGAGTTTAGAAAAACATAACTTTTAACGGGAAATGTAATATCAAAACTCATCCAATGTGCTGTTTGGACTGCACAACGCACAATCATCTACTGACCAACACCGAGTCGTCTACTAACTAGAACACTATGCCTAGCATCTATTTAGAATGACACAGCCACTTATTACCCAACATCCAGTCATCTACTGACCAATTCCCATTCAGCATACGATAAATACCTGGTCATCTGCTGACCAACAACCATTTATATACATCCCAGTCATGTACTGATCAGCACCTAGTCATCTACCAACCAACACCCCACAATAACTATCCAACACGCCGTCTGACTGACCAAAATTCAGTTGTTCAAACTTGCTTTCCAATACCAAACCCATTGAACAGTTTTTAGTGACCAGCACCCACTCGTCTACTTATCAACAGACTCATTTTTTTAACAAAAAGTTAACAAACATACTATCACACACAAGAAAATGCATATTGGGGAGTAGATTTTCGTTGTGGAAGAGATACACAAGCATAAAACACATATGTTAACAATGATTGAGTAATAGTTTATTTTTAAAAGAACTGGATGGCCCAAATAATGGCCGTTGGAGTGATTAACCAAAACAGGGGATAATAGCACATACTATATATACCATCTTACTGTGCTTCGCCCTTCTGGTCCATAGACCAACTCTCTTTTGAGGCATCATTGCCTTACCACAAACATTCTCCTCCTTCATATAGCTGTGTTTGTGATCTTGGTGGTGATCCATGATGACTTCACACATACAAAGT